TCTAACTGCTATATGGTATCAATGATAACCTCAGGGCTAGGGTTTCAAAAGCCTTCACATGCCTAAAGACTCATAGGTTCATAGATGTAGGGTCGGAGGGGACCTGAGCAGATCATCAAGTCCAACCCTCTGCCCTGGGCAGGAGGAAAACTGGGCTCAAATGACCCCAGCCAGGTAGGCATCAAGCCGCTTCTTAAAGACCCCCAGGGTAGGAGCCAGCACTACTTCCCTTGGAAGTTGGTTCCAGATCCTAGCCGCCCTAACCATAAAGTAGTATCTCCTGGTGTCCAGCCTGAACCTACTCGCAATCAATTTGAGGCCATTGTTCCTTGTTACCCTGGGAGGTGCTTGGGGGAGCAGGGTCTCACCCATTCCCCTCTGGTCTCCCTTGGTAAGTTTATAGACAGCCACCAGATCCCCCCTCAGCCTTGTCTTGTGGAGGCTGAACAGGTTCAGGTCCCGTCGCCTCTCCTCGTCGGGCCTGCCCTGCTGCCCCCTGACCATGCGGGTGGCCTCCTCTGGACCCTCTCCACGCTGTCCACATCCCTCCTGAAGTGCGGCGCCCAGAACTGGACACAATACTCCAGCTGCGGTCTGACCAGTGCCGCGTAGAGGGGGAGGATCACCTCCTGGGACCTGCTTGCGATGCATCTGTGGATGCACGACAAGGTATGGTTAGCCTTGCTGGCCACATCCTCACATTGGTGGCCCATGTTCATTTTGGAATCGATAATGACGCCAAGATTTCTTTCTGCCTCTGCACTGACAACAAGGGAGTTCCCCAGCTGGTTCTCCCTGCCCAAGTGCAGCACCCTGCACTTGTCAGTATTGAATCCCATCCTATTCACAATCGCCCACCCCTGTAACCTGTCCAGGTGCAGCTGTATCCTGTCCTTCCCTTCTAGCATGCCCACCTCGCCCCAGATCTTGGTGTCATCAGCAAATTTGAACAGGGTGCTTTTCACCCCCTCGTCCAAGTCACTAATAAAGAAATTGAACAGTGCAGGCCCAAGGACCGAGCCCTGGGGGACCCCACTGCCCACAGCCCTCCAGGTCTCCAGGAACTAGTAGTATTTTCAAAATCACCAAACTCATTGATAATCAATTAAGAGTTGAGCCCCTACCCTGCCTACTGCTTTATGAATGCCACAAGGATTCCAGCATCTGCTTAGCCTCCTCCATGCCTCTATTTAATCACTCTGGCAGTGTATATAGACTACATATAGGTGTGATCCAAGACTATTTGGGAGCTGTGATCCTTCCTCATGGGTAACAGCTGCATCTTCGGGGCGGTGTTAGCTTTTGTGGCTGATGCTCCACATGGAAGGTCTTTTTCATGAACTGAGCTCTGGTACGACTGCATTCAGGGCCTTCTGTGCATAGGATTTGGCAGGAGAGACACCAGCATTACCCTCCGAGTCATTACAGGAGTCTCCAGATCTCTTCATAATTAAGTAGCAGGTTATCTGGGTTGGAATCAGCTAGACGAGAGTGGCACTGCAACCTGGCACAAGGTATTTCATGACACTCAGCTCTGAGGTACTTCTTGATCGCTGAATCAATCATTCAGCCGGCTGCGGATGCGAGGAGCATTTGACTTTTGATACTGTCCTAGCAATTATCACGGGATTTCTAGGCTACTTTATCACTCCATCCAGGAAGAGCGCAGACCGTCTATAGATGCTTCCTCAGCCTGACGAGGGGTGTTTGTGCCCAAAAGCTTGCTAAGAAGAATTTTTCCAACTATTTGAGTTGGTCTAATAAAAGACATTGGATTTACTCAAAGAACCTTGTCTGCCGTCAGTGAATACACTGCAGAGGATGTTCTGTACTGAATAGTGATGGATCATAACTATGCAGGCTCCAGATTTGCTAACTCTTGTCATCCAAAGGTAAAGTTAATGCATCTTGGGCCTGTGTAAAGTAGAAAGAGGGTGAATGGTGACATGTTGCAGTATTAGTCGCTGGCTTGTAGTGATGCAGGTGATGACAGGTCACCAGCAACTGCTGGTGTTTTCACAAAAACCGGCAAGAAACCCCTTTTGGTTTACTCTTGGCTTCAGGTGTTTTAATATTTCCCCTCCTCTTACAGGAACGTCTATAGCATTTGAACTAACTTCTGAGCCAAGCCTGAGAGCAGGTTTAAGGATTAGTAGGAGTGGAGTTAATGGGATGAATTTAAGCAGAAAAAGAATTAGGCTGAATAATTTGAGACGTGCTGCTCCCCTCACGTACGTGAGCACAGCAATCACTATAAAGCAATCTCGTTATATAAAAACTTTTAAGCCCAAGAGATGTAGAAACAAATCAATGGAAAAGTAGGTTTTTAGAGTTGTTTTTTAAAAAGCTTGGTGCAGTGGCATCTGGCTGGGGCATCCTGCCCCTGTCTTGGAGGAGCAGGGCTTGGTTTAGATACCACAGTCTTGGCACAGCCCTTAGCTCGTGGGTGCATTCCCAGGATGCAGACACGCACACTGTTTGTCTAGCAGCTTATCCCGGAAACTGGGACTCAGTCCAGCCTCCCAGCCCCGGGCCCAGTCCCGAGAGCTCACCCTGAAGACGTCCTGTCCGAGGTGCTCGCAGAAGCGGGGAGCCTTCTGGTCTGCGGCTGGTCTCTGCAGGGGGCAGCGCACAAGTAGGGCAAGGCTTTGCTCAGCGTTTCTAAGTGTACCATTGCTCTCATTTCGAGAGAGAGACAGGCGGTTACAGAGCAGCAGACAAAACAGCCTGCTTCCTACAGACAAAAGGCTTCGCTTAACTCACCCTTCCCGTGCCAGGCCTGGAGGTCAGCTTGTGTCCAGAGCGGATCCCTCTGCCCCATCAGAGCCCTGGTACCGGCAGCTCCCCTTGCAGCCTGAGCTCCTTCCCCTCTGTAACTTCCCAGTCCCTCAATCAGGCAATTTGGCCCCGAGCTTTCTCCAGGTGATCACAGTCCTCTGCCAGGTGACTCTGTTGCCAAGGAAACCTCTCCCCTGACAATCCGGCGCTCTCCCCTGACAATCCGGCTCTCTTCCGTAGGAGCTAGCATACTGTCAGGGTTTTTACATTTCAGGGGTGCCGCCGTTCCATCGAAGCCCCTCTGCTGCTCACTCCGGGCTGGTGCATTTTGGATGCTTTCAGACAGGAGGGAAAGACCAGCTTTACCATCCAGAGGGAGTGTGCAGTCAGACACGCCTATGCTGAGTTCATCTGCTAAAACAATCCCTAACTGGAGAAGTGCCCCAAATCTTCATGGGGGAAGATGAGCTGGATTTCTGCAGGAGCGAGCGCCTCATCATTGGGGTTGCCCTGGCACAAGCTTGGTTGCCTGCTGACTTCAAGTGCAAAGGCAGACGCTCCCAACACCGAGAGGTAGGTGAGCACAGAAGCCCAGGGGAAGGTCCGCAAGAGGAGGTCTTGATTAAACCAGGGTCCGTCCCCTTCATAACTTTGCATGCTCACACAAGCTGCCTTGCACTGAATTGACCACTTACTGGGCAGCCGGCATGCAAAATGCCGAGCTGGCTGAATATGATCACGACAGCTCAGATCAGCAAGCAAGCCGCGGCATTTCTGAGCAAGCTGTAAGGAGCAGCTCAGCCTCACCAACAACCCAGCAAAAAGGGAACGGTAGGAATCGAGCCTGGCGGTTGGGAGAGCATGCCTTGCTGTTACCAGGTCATTGCGAGGCAAGTAGCAGAAAACATTATCACAGCCCGCTGCAATCCCTTGGTAGGTGCCGGGGCCTGAGAGTGCTTTTAATGAGATATTTAAATTTAAAACCAGTGCTGGAGGTTATATCATGAGTAATGTCCTGTGTTGGCAAAGGAGGGGGCTAAGGGAAATTTCATCTGCTGCTGAAGCCAACAAAAGGCACCAGAACGTCTTACTGGGGTTCCTGCTGCA